TCAGAGGCATCTGTTGGCTCTGAATGGGCTCCAGGAAGGTAGGAACAGAGCTCATTTCTGAGAAGTAACCATCAGGTAGGCAGGGGGCACTGAGGAGCCAGGTAAGTGATTGGTGAACCCAGTGATGAAGACCAAGGGTCTTAGAATGTCAGAGCCAGGAGGAATCTGAAGACACTGAGGCCCATAGAGAGGAAGGGACTCATCCAAAGTCACCCATCTCTAGCGCTGGATCCCCTGGCTTAAAGCCTGCACCTGCCCCACCACAACTTCCTCCCTCCCCACTGGGGAGACAAGCTTGATAGCAGGGTGCATGTTAGGGAACGACAGTGTTGCCTGGATGGCTCCACACTCTTACAGTCCACCTTTCCTCTGATGGCCAAATAAACCTCCCTATAATTCCCCAGCCTACATATTCCTGAGGATTTCCAGGGGCTTACATTCCTCTGGCTGCCTCTTGCTTTCAGACTCTGCTTTCCTGATTTAACACACCACTTCCCACAGAACTTGACTGCTCTGTACCCCTTGGGTGCTTACTACAATGTATCTGTCAGGATGGGCTAGGTTATGCTGCAGTAACAAACAACCCCCAAATCTGAGTGGCTTAGAACAACACAGGCTGATTTCTCACTCACACACTGTGTTCGTTGTGGGTTCTGCTTACTCTATCCACAAAATCCCCACTCCAGAGTCAGGGACACAGGTCAATGGGGCTTCCACCATCAATAAATCCACCAGTTACATGGCAGGGGAAAGGAACCTGGCAAATGACACATGACACGTCTGCTTATGTTTCATTGGACAAAGCAAGTCACATGACCATGCCCACCCTTGGAGGATCTGGGAAATACAATCTTGCCATGTCCAAGAAGGAAAAGAACCAGAGTATCCACAAAAGCCTGACTACTCAACAGTGCCCCTTCCTTCAGTCCTCAAGCTCCACAACCGAGGCTGTTGTATACAAGTCTCTCCCAAAAGTCCTGGATACAATGGGTGCACTACTAAAACAAAACCACTTAAGAATGAATAGAAGCCCTCCCTGCTCTCGGGTCACCCGGACTTTACTGCTACGAGGATTTGTCACCCACCTCCTGTTTTCACTCTGACCTCTCTCCTGTACTCGCATGTGCCAATTTTATCGTTGTTGTTCATAATCTCTTTCTCTACCAAGACCTTTGCCCTGTATCCAGTGATGTGCTAGAGATGGCTCATTCCAACTTGCGAGAGCCAACTGTTAAATTTTCAAGAATTTTGCTAACTGGTTATCCGACCTCTGGTAGCTTGAAATGGGCCAAGGTAGGAGTGTTTACACCCTGGGAACTGGCAAATAGTACAAGTCATTTGTAGTATTTCAGAGAGCTTTCAGAGAGCTGGTCATTAAGCATATACCATTATACCATTGTCTGCATCTTCTTTTCTGACCAGCTACATAATTGGCAGGGCGCAATACAAACTGAAAATGTGGGGCCCTTAAGAATTTCAAGACAGCAATAGTGGAGGCTTAAACCAGGCATTGGGCCCTTCTAAGCCTGGGGCTCTGTGTGACCGCTCAGGTTCACATTGTGAAGCCAGCCCGTCTCTTCTCCCTCTGGGCCCCCCCCCATGCTGTAGCACCCACCCCTAGCCAGCAATCTCTGTAGAAAACAGGAGATCATGCGCACGCACCTGTAACTTCATTAAGCAAAACAATCTACCTGTGCCTTAGGCTCTTCTCTCACATCTGAACCATCCTTCAGGCCTCTTCTCCTATAATAAAAAGCCCCATCAAGGAACCATCTAAAAGAAAGGGAACATCTACCTCTGGGAAGAATCCTTCCCCCTCCTAAAATGCCCAGTTTGGCATTATCTCATTTTTTAGTAGCTATTTTTCTCCCATTTGTGATTGGAAGTAAATTTGGAGAGCTAAGACAGGCCCTAAAGGGAGAAGAGGAGTTTACAGATAGTCGTAATATTTTACTGGCATGGAAGCACTCAGACTCCTTGAGGCTGATTCTGAAGAAACTGCAGGGATCTTTAAGGTTTAAAACAAAAACTTAGCCTTGGAATGAATTTTGCAAACGTACTTTGACATGGAACCCCACTATATAAAATAGGTAAACCAGAAGACTGCTCTGAGAGAAGCAGGAGAGGCTGGCCTTGACCTCCCACCCCCACCCCACACCTCCCTCACCAGGGCCCTCCCTCCGTGCTTGGGTCCTGCTTCCCATCTCTCCTCCTGCCATCCCCGCAGCCCCAAGCACCTGCTGCCCCAGCATACACCAGCCTGTCACGCCCTGTGCCCTTGTTCATATCAACTTCTCCATTTGAATTCCCTTCCTTCCATAGACCACCTGTTGGACTTTTATTTGTCCTTCAAAATCTCTTCCGGGAAGCCCGTGCCACTTCCTGGTTTAGCTGTCCCATGGCAGCGAGTACACACCCCTGTTCTCACCTTGCCTTATTGGATTATGTCACCTCTGTGGATGTCTGACTCCTTCTCAGGCTAGGAGCTCCTCCAGGAAAGGGATCTGACTAACCCAGCTTTGTGTCACCAGTGCCCAGCACAGTGCCCAACCCAAAGATACCATCAGGACGCGCTGCTGGGGTTGGCAGGAAGAGACAAGATAGGTGCCCGTTGGGCTTGGAAGGGGTCAAGGGGAAGTGAGAAGGAAGGAGAGAGAGCTGAGTTTTGTGGCAGCTGTTTGAAAAGCAGGAAATGCAGAGATCTTTAGTAAAACCTTGGCTGCTGCTAACAAAAAGGGAAAAACTTGGGTTAATTTCACCATCAATTACTGTACTGACTAAACACATTCTGGATTAAAGAAAGTATCTCCAGAGATGAGGGTAGGATGGGGTGGGAGCCAATACTCAGTGGCCCAAGGGGCTGTGGCAAGCGAGGGTTTGCCTCTGAAGGGCAAAGAGAGCAGGCCTGCAGGTGGCAGGCAGAGGGTGGGCAGGGGCCAGGCACTGAGCCAAGGGTGGAGTCAAGCAGCCAGAGGTGGGGTGTGAGTCAAAGGTCCAACTCCCCATGGCTGTCATTGACAAGGGTCAATGGAACAGGGTTTGTACGTCAACCAAACCAGGGACCAAAGCTAATCCCAGAAAGAACCTGCCAGGGTTGGAGAAAGGCTGCATCCACAAGCCTTCCAGGCCAGGATTCCCACCACCTCCTGATAGTTTCCTTGCAGGGATGGGCCATAGCCCAAGACTTTGGCAGGGTCCCCAGGTTTATAACTCTACAGAGCTTTGCCCACCCAGCCAGATCCTTAAATAAAGACTCCAAAGCTGCCAGCGTTGCCTGTGCATGTAGCATAGTGTCTGACCTAATTGCATCTATTTTTTGTCCTGGTCCCTGCTGAGTAGATGTCCTGGAATGCCTCTCTCTGGGAAGAGCACCATAAGTTTTAAATACAGACACTTCCTCACTATCCCCCTCCCACACACACACACACACACGTCACACACATCACTATCCTAAAGAGAAAAGAAGTGCTATGTGCAAATCCCAAAACAGGCAAAGAAAGCAGACTAGCAAGGTGGTATAATATCAGGCCAAAGGTGAAGGTGTTGACTGGGCATGCCCACATCTGTGAGCTCTCCAAGAGCTCGTGTGTGTGTGTGTGTGTGTGTGTGTGTGTGTGTTTGTGTGTGTGTGTGTGTGTGTGTGTGTTCCTTAGCCCTTTAGAATACAGATCAAAGAATCAGTCTTTATTTCAATGTACAAATGTCCTCAGAGGATCAAAAAAAAAAAGTGGAGGGGAGGTTAAAAAAAAAGAAAAAGCCCATCTCCACACTGAATATTTCTCAGTTAGATATTTTCAGCCACTCTTCGAGCATAGGCTGGGGTAATTTTAGCAACCAGGAAGTGGAGAGCGGGTAACTGTTCTATTTTGCTTTCAAAGTGCTCCATGCACTCCATTGTGATAGCCCATTCATTCTTCAGTTCAGCAAGTGGCCTTGAGGGGACAAAGCCACGTGTTCTGAAGAGGGAGCAGCACCCAGCTCTGTGGCAGTGTTTGCAGAATCCCCTGAGCTGCTATCTTTAGACGTGTGGGGCTTAGTTACTGCAGTGTTTTCCTGTGGTTGAGGTTTGTTGCTGCCACTGCCCTGATTTTTTTTCAATTCACTTATTTATGTAGTCAACAAGTGTGTTGAGTGCCCGGCCCGTGCTAGGCTCCGAGCACATTAGTGAATGAAGCAGCTGCAGTCCCTTCTCCCACAGAGCCTTCGGCAGAGATGGAAAAGTAAATAGGCAATGCCAGTGTTTTCACAGGAAAGTCCGGGGTGCCATGGGAGCCCTGATACAGGATGCAAAACAAGATCTCGCAGAATCCAAGTGGTTGCAACAAGCCCTGCCCGGAAGGACACATCCCTGGCCTGTCCACCTGAGGAGTCCTAGAGGCCGCCGGCCACAGCGCGGTGTCAGGTGCTCCTTCTCTGGGCACCACGCCCTGGTTTTCTTCTTGCAGCTCTGTCAACCTCTATGATCCCTAAATTAGGCAAGTGGAGATTTTTAGAGCAGCTCAAATGTTCATTCCCAGAGCTGTCCCATTTTTCTAGGCCAGCAGTTTCCAGGTTGTGCTCCAAAGAGACCTCTAGTCCTGAGAAGTGCTTCAGGGCTGCCCAGGAAGGGGAGAGCCAAGCCAGCGGGGCTTCAGCCAGGGCCACCTGCTCTTATCTGATTTACATCCAGGTACAATTTTGTTTGAAAAAATAAAGGGACTGCTCAGATGTCCATCAACGGATGAATGGATAAACAAAATGTGGTCTCTACATACAATGGGATGTTATTCGGCCCCTTATAAAGGAAGGAGATTCTTTTTTTTTTTTTTTTTCTTTTGTCTTTTTCTGTGTCCGGCAACGGATCGCAACCCTCAGTGTTGCCCCCGTACCGGACCAGGGACCGGCAACGGGATCGCAACCCTCGGTGTTGCTCCCGCGCCTCGCTCAGCCAGTGAGCGGGAA